ACCCATATGATCTCAGGTTTTTAGACATGAACACTTATCATATGATCCTCAACAGTGGTGACAATAATTATTCATACTGCAGTGCATGATGGGAGTTTTTACTATGGTGTTACCCAGCATGCATTGCAGCATGAAGCATTTTGTTGATGTTCACCATTGTTGAGATTCATATGCTGGTTCTGGATGTCTGTGTGTGTCTAATTACTTCAGGAATGCAATTTTTCATATGCATTAAATTAATGTAAAATGCATTGACTATAACTAATGAGCAACACTTGGTTTGCATGCTGAAGTGTCACAGGTTTGGTATTACAGAACCTCAACATGTAAATTAAAAAAGTTTATTTTGATTGTAGTAAGTCCAGCTCATGATGATTATCATATGGTAATAGATAAAAGTTAATTGCTGCTTTATGGGCAGCTCAGGTTTCTTCTATCACTACACCATACTCATCACTACAGATAAATATTTAACACAGTAGTCAAGGGTCAAGACCACAACTAACGCAAACACTGATCTCCATGATGGTGACAGAATTTTAACCAATAAAACATCAACATCTGATCCTCTGCAATTCTCAATAACAGCAGGTGTTCATCACTAATGCACAATCATCATTTAATTAGTCACTTAATTATCTCATTAACTTTAACTCTTTGAAGACTTGGGATTTGACTTGAAGACTTGCTTGTGACGTGAAAGTAATGACTTGGTCCCACCTCTGCTTGAGTCTACATAGAAATAATATATATAAGGTACAAATAACTGAATGAAACACAACCAGTAAAAGATCAAAATTAAACTTCTTGCAGATAACAGCTAGTTAACCTAAGCACCCATACATTTAAGACTGGAGCTAGCTAAGAGATTTACACTACACTGTAAAAAAAAATCTGTTAAATTTACGGTAAAATACAGGCAGCTATGGTTGCCAGAACTTTACCGTGAAAAATACAGTAGCAACATTTTAGGTTTTACAGTACTGTTTAAATTTACAGTGAAAAACTGTATTTCATTAACTGATACAATGTTAATACACAAACCTTTGAGTTAACTCATTTTATTTGCAGAAACCGACTGCACTTAATTTGGCCAATTGAAATTTGTTGATAAACTAACATATATAATGTTTAAGTAACGCAAGCATATTGGTCTTAAGAACTGTTTTGCTTAAGTCCATGAAGAAAAACCTACTGATTTATGCAAAGTCGTTAAAAGCATCAATTCAACTCAAATCTCCTGCAAATAACAGCAGCACACATTCATCAGCAACTACACAGCTAATGCCTTTAAACAAAGCAACATGAATCATATTATCAGTGTTTCTTGTTCTTCTCCTGGACTGAAGCACAGACTCTACTCTTCAGCACAATGTTAACCTCACAAAACCCAGACAAACAGAAACCCAACAGAACATTCAACACTAGCAGATCTCTCCTATATCATTGTGTGTAAAAACACATAGAAATATACTTAATCTCAGCATTTACTCTCCTTTTACGGAGTTTAAATTTCTGTTAGGTTTCACAGTGCATTGCTGCTTTTACTTGACTTTACAGTAAATTACTGGCAACAGTGTTGCCAGTGTATCACTCTTTTACAGTTTGTTTGGCATAAAATTAATTTACAGTTTATTACTGTTAAAATTGTATCTTACACATTTAAACCTTTCAACCCCACAGACAAATCCTGTAGTGTCCACACTACAAAGAGATAAAGTAACACTGACGCAGGGTTGCAGTGAGATAATTAATTGAATATGTCAGTAATTGCTGAGTGTTAGAGATGAACACCTGCTGTTAACAAGCAGAATCACTGAAGCAAAGAGGAACAAGAACAGAACACTGAAAAGAGACGAGCAGAAACACAAGAACTACAACTGACTTCCACCATTACACATTATTACACTTATTACTAAACAGTTTGACTTTATTTCTGTCATACATCTACAGAAGCTCTTATTGAGAATTAACAGAGGTTCAGATGTTTGTGTTTTATTGAAAATGTTTGGTCTGAATTACTGTTTTGGTGGTCAGTGTTTTCTTCAGTTGAGCTCCTGACACTTGACATTTTAATATCAGCTGGTTTTCTGGCTGTTGAAACGGTGTGTTCACAAAGCACATTTGTTACAGCAAAACCAGAGTAAGACGATTAATGAATGCTGGTTATATATTAATGAAGAAGTGCTCCTAATGTAGTTGCATAATTCACTAATTTCATTGTGTCTAATGCCTTACTAATCGTGCAACATTATTAACACAGTTAAATTTCATTTTACCACCACCATGAAACTACAACAAGAGCTACTGCAGCAATCAATTATAATGAAGGATGTTAAAGCACATTGTGCAAGAAAAGAACTGCACCACTGAAAAACACCCAGACATAAAAAAATCAGCATATGAATCTCAACAATGGTAGCAATAAAATAAAAAAAACAAGAGAGAAACTTTTCATATCTCAAAACAGGCTACAAAATGTCAACAAAAATATCAGCAAAACCATACATGTAAATAAAGAAAATAGTAATACCATTCAGCTGCATAATTTATTCACGCTGCAGTGCATGCTGGGAGTTTCATTTTATGCTGGAACCCAGCATGCGTTGCGACATGAAACTTCTGTCACCATTGTTGAGATTCCTGAGCTGATTGTTGATATCTGTGAGTGTCTAAGACATGCTGGAGTTTAAGATTTTAATTGAAAATTTTTGTAAATGGGTGATTAGTGAAACATTGTTCAATCTTATACAGGAGAATCTCAGAGCTTTTGCAATCAATAGACATAAATACAGATGAAACACCGGGATAAATAAGTTAAAAATTAATTCAGCTCAGAGATTCAGATGAGTCATAATATAACCAATATCGTCTGACCCATTTTATCTTACCATAAGAAACATTCGGTACCACTTTATATTGTGTCCCTAATACCTGTGTACTTACATAGTAACTAGATGTGTACATAGTATGTAACCACAGTGTAAGTACACATTGGTACATAGTATCTACAGGTCTAATGCTTGTGTAACAACCCACTGAATGGTATGTGTAAGTACAAATGTGTAACAGGACATTGGTAACAACACTTTTTGGTAATGAAAGTACAAATGTGTAACAGGACTAACAGCACTTTTTGGTAAAGAATGTGTTACACTTTATATTAGATTTATCATGTAATTACTCTGATGTTACACAGCAGCGGCCAGTAAGTTAGGCTTTACATATAAATTGTGGTTGCTGTCCAGAATGTTACACGTTATATTAAGTGGACAGTTCCTGAGGAGTTACCATGTAAGTACACTGGTATTGCAGTGGTGCACCAACTCGAGATCCAACTCCTACCACTTTACATATCCCTAAACCTATCTCCAACCCTGGATCCCATTTCCACCCCTAAACCTACCCATCTCCACCCCCTGGATCAAATTGTTCCAATTACTCTTATACATATTGTTGTTACAAAATGTAGTTATATAATTAGTTACACGAGTACTTAGTGAAGTGAAAAAAAGTGTTGTTACCAATGTCCTGTTACACATTTGTACTTAAACAAACCATCCTGAGGGTTGTTACATGTGTGTAGTTACAGAAATATTACAGCTGAAGATACTATGTACACAGTAAAATCCTGAGTGTTAAATTAACACTGCTCGGAGCATATATGGTCCCACTCTACAAGAGTGTTAAAGTAACACTGAAGCAGTGTTAAAGTTAATGAGATAATTATGTGACTAATTAAGTGCTGATTGAGCATTAGTGATGAACACCTGCTGTTACCAAGCAGAATCACTGAAGAAAAGAGAAACAATAACTAACTTCAGCCACAGCCTTAAATTGGAATTAACTGAAATTAAAGAAGACATTAAATCTCTCAAGATCTTAGCAGAAGATGATTAATCATCTCCCCAAACAGTATCACCAGCTTTACACATTACTAACCAGTAGGGATGCACCGATACCACTTTTTCCAGTACTCGCCCGATACGATACTTTTATTTTTGGTACTTGCCGATACCGAGTACCGATACCAATATTTTTATTGCATTTGTAATTTTTTAAAATATTGGGTACAGAAACCAAAAGAGTATGTATAATGTTAGATGGTGAAACTTTAGCAAAACACGTGCAACACGTGCATCTATTTGTACTGATGCAGAATAGTACAGCCCAGCGCATTTCACACAAGCTGCTAGATTCACTTTCGCCTAAGTCGTGTATGCCTAAGGTTAAAAATAAATGACATTTATAGTGAATGCCCCTATAAATGGTCTTATTGTTACAATTTAGTTTTAATCCCAATTATGCTTGTGCTAAGTGAGTGAAAATCGAAGATCACACAACAGAATTGTGCGCGCTTGCTCTCTCTCCCTACCGTTAAGTAACTTGTACATTGTTTTACTTACTTGTTTTTGACATATCCGACTGAACTACAAACTTTCCAGTGATGTCTGTGAGAAAGGTATATTCACATGACAAGCTTGCGCATCTGCGCCGCCGCGCGCTCAATCCACTCAGCGTGCTTTGTTTATCAGCTCGCGCACATCAGCTAGACAGGCGTTAATACTGAATGTTTAACATTATCGTATCGGTGCATCCCTACTAACCAGTTTGAATTTTTGTTTATCATGCATCTTAAAATTTCTTATTAAGAATTAACAGAGATTTAGATGTTAATGTTTATTGAAAATAATACAATTTGAAGTCACCGCTGTGGAGATACATGTTTTAGTTGGGCTCTTTACCCTTGACTTTTAAACATCAGTTTTTCTCTGGTTGCTGTAATTATGTTTATCAAACACATTATGGCAAGAAATGAACAAGAGAAAATATTTTCAGATTTTTTTTTTTTTTATGAAACATTTCTCATTTGCAAGGACATATTATTGATAATTACATTGTTGCCCTGTAGCAGCCAGGTTTGCTGATATCACCAGTGATGATGTGTAATATAGTTTCAGTCCCAACTGAACCTTCATTAAATAATAGGAAAAACTTTAAAATCTGTATACGGTAGATTAGATAATCTGTACTGTTTAGAAACGCAGACATCAAGAATCAGCATATGAATCTCAACAATGGTGATGATCATCAGACAGATTCATGTTGCAGTGCATTCTGGGTGCACCAATCATAACTCAGCATGCATTGCGACATGAATAAATTATGCAGCTGCATTGTCTTAGTATTTTCTTTTATTTTGACTTTTTACTGCCTTGTTTTGTGACGTTCAAAAACACATATTATCAGAATATTTTGTCACCATTGCTGAGATTCACATGCTGATTCTTCATGTCTATGAATGCCAGAATTGAAACCTTTTAAAGAACCATATTTTTAAAGTCATTTATGAAAGTTTTTTTCACATTATCTCATATTACTGCAACAAAATTGAAATCATAAAAACACTACAGTTATAGATAAACTGAAATCAGAGTCTCAGACACATGACATGATTTTACCATAAATGCCATCACATATGTGTTTAATACACACTATACTGCCAGCCACAGAGAAACTTAAATGTAAAAAGTTATGGGTCAAGAGGCAACTTAAGCAACCACTATTCACAAAAACGGTAAATTGAAAAGAAAAAGAAAAACATCTAAACATTAATTCTAAATAAAGAACTTCAGTTTTAGATAGTTTAACTGGTTAGTAATGCAAGAAGCTGGTGATGCTGTTTGTGGAGATGATTAATCATCTTCTGCTGAGATCTTGAGAGATTTAATGTCTTCTTTTATTTCAGATTATTTCATCTAAGGCTGTGGCTGAAGTCAGTTGTAGTTCTTGTGTTTCTCTTTTCTTCAGTGATTCTGTTTGTTAACAGCAGCTGTTCATCACTAACACTCAATTAGCACTTAATTAATCACATAATTATCTCATTAACTTTAACACTGCTTCAGTGTTACTTTAACACTCTTTTAGAGTGGGACCGTATGAACAACTTAACACTCGGGAATTTACTGTGAATGTTACTGTAAGAATTTGGGCATTTTTCTACAGCAAGGGTTAACAGTGTAATTTTGAACATTTCTCATGGGCATTTAAATCTCTTTTTTTATAATTTGATCTGTAAAAGAAAACCTGCCTAATAATTCTGCACAACTGAAAATAAGGAGTTTTTCACTTTCAACCTTCATGGACAATTATATATCACTTATAAATGATTAAATACCAGAGGTGGGACATTCAAGTCACAAGCAAGTCTTCAAGTCAAATCCCAAGTCCTCAAAGAGTTAAAGTTAATGAGATAATTAAGTGAGTAATTAAATGATGATTGTGCATTAGTGATGAACAGCTGCTGTTATTGAGAATTACAGAGGATCAGATGTTGATGTTTTATTGGTTAAAATGATGTCACCATCATGGAGATCAGTGTTTGCTTTAGTTGTGCTCTTGACCCTTGACTATATAAATATTTTTTTTGTTTGTTTGGTTATTATGACAGCGTTAATAAAGTACATTGCTTATAGCAAGAAAAGCCAAGAAAGATTTTAAGTAGTTATTGATAATTTTATAGTTATTGGTGTCTTGGTTAACTGATCTCATTCAGTGGTTAAGCTCTAATGACATGTGTTTTTTTATTAGTTTCTTGTTATTTGCAATAGCTATACGTTACTGCAATATCAGATGACAAACTACTACTGAAAGATTTTTAAAGGGGTCATGTGGTCATTTTTATAAGGTCATTCTATTTTCCCTTTCTTTAGTGTGTTGTGTAGCTTTTTGTCCATGTATAAGATCTGCAGAGTTACAAACCTCAAATTATTGAGTACCGTGACTCACATCATGGTACTGTCGTGAACGCACGTCCACAAGAGACGCAGTAGAGACGAAAATGTGGAATAAAGTCGTTATTTTTGTTTTCTTTGCACAAAAATGTATTCTCGTAGCTTCGCAACTTTACAGTTGAACCACTGATGTCACACTGACTACTCTGTCGATCATCTTGGTACTTTTCTGGACCTTGAACGTGGTAGTGACCTTGCTGTCTATGGGAGGGCCAGAGAGCCCTCAGATTTAATCAGAAATATCTTAAATTGTGTTCTGAAGATGGACGAAGGTCTTACGGGTTTGGAACAACACGAGGGTGAGTAATTAATGACAGAATTAAAATTTTTGGGTGAACTAACCCTGAACTGTATTAATGTGTTTTTGCTCAAGAGAGATCTGTTAGTTTAATGTAGTTTTGTGGGTTACCATTGTGCTGGAGAATAGAGCTTGTGCTTCAGTCAATGATGAGCCTAAAAAAAAGTTCTGCTGCTTTATTTAAAGACAGTAATTGTGGAGTTAATGCAGTGATGATCTCTTTGCTAAGTGCTTCGGCACATACTTGTGTGCTATTGCTGATGATGAACTTCAGCGATTTGAGTTGTAGTCATGTTTTTGTTACTTTAATGTTATACGTTAAGTCTTTGCAGTTTTCAGTGGACTGAAATTAAATAAGTCAACCAAATGTTTACACACTATCTCAGCAGTGAAGAAATCTCAATTGTAGTTAATTTAGTGAATTGAATTTCACAACAATTTTTCCAATTTACTGTAAAATGTATGTATAGCATTACAAGTTCACAGTTGCTCTTGTAATTTCACTCATATTTATAAATGTTTCTACTGTTTTTTTCAGTTTGCTGTATTTTTACAGTGCTTTTGTAAATGTACAGTATTTCTGGCAACCAAAATTGTTAGTAAGTTGCTGTACATTTTACAGTATTTTTTTTACAGTGTGATTAAGTCTGATGTGGTTTGGAATTGGTAAAATGTGCTTGAAAAATATATATGATCAGAATATCAATGTGCTGAATAATCAATTTGCATGCACTGTGTGTATATATATATATATATAGCTCCTGTTAATTCTGCCAACATCTGAAAGTTTGGATGAATAGTGATTAATACGCAGAACGAGTGTGTAGAAAGAGTTAATGTAAATATAATTACCTGCACAGTATGCTGAATTGCAGAGAGTTGGTCTAACCAGCTCATAGACATAATAATTGCCTGGACAGGCTTTGACTTTAATGGGAAAAGACCCAAAATAGCAGCAGTAATTGTTATAGTGACCGCAGACATCTCGAGTGACGACTCCATCTTCAACTGTTGGGTGTCCACCACGAATCCACAGTGGAGCAGCAGTGCCACAGCTATACTGAGCAACACACGTGTCTGGGATGTGAGCGCTCATGTTGTTAATGAAGAGACGATACCAGCCGCTCCAGGTGACATACTGGTCACAATTACTGCCTGAAGCATATTTGTTAGTGGCTCTCCATGGATTGTCCAGCACAGTGTAGTTGTAGCAGGGGTCAACAGAGGTATATTCTGTAATTAAAATATTTATTTTTTAGCAGTACATTCTACAGTACAAATGAACATTACTAGCAGCTGTTCTCATACAATCTCCTTCAGAAATGAAGACATTACTAATCAGCAGAAACGTGTTTATTTCCCCAGATTTAAATTCTAATACAGGTCCAAATGCACAGAAGCTCAACATGCCAATCTACAGATCTGATCATGTACAGTTAAAATACCACAACACAATACATTACCAACTGATTCAGTGACAGTTATACAGGCCAAGACATCTGGAAAAAAAAGTAATGAATACAAATTAATGAACAACGTTGCAAAGGGTGCAACATGTGTAATAGTGACAACTGACCAAATACAAAAATAAAACAGCATTGGCATGATTTTACTTAAAGGGGAATGTTCAATAAAAAAATAATAATAATAAAATACAAAAAAAATAAAAAATAATAACAATTTTAAACTGACTATTCAAATGACATTTCATTTGCATTTAAGACATAATAAAAATAATTTTGAAACTTGACAACTTATTTTTTAAACTACACACTGTAAAACATTGCCCTGTAAATTAATGGTAAAATACTGGCAACAATGTTGTCAGTAATTTACTGTTAATTGTGCAATTCTTTACTGTAGTCTAGTTTACAGTATTTTACTGGAAAGATACCATGGTCTAAATTTAAAACTAATTTCATTTTTAGAAACCGACTTCCGTAATTGGCCAACTGCTAATTAAATTTATAAACTAATATTTTTAACATGAACATATTAATACTATAAACATGTTCCATTTGAGTCTACTTGGAAATAATAAGCAAAAATAACTGAATGAAACAATTGTGTCTTTTTATCTTACACGTTTAAACCTTTCAACCCCACAGGAAAATCCTGTAGTGTCCACACTACAAAGAGAAAAAGTAACACTGACGCAGGGTTGCAGTGAGATAATTAAGTGAATATGTAGCAGAGTTGGGACTTTCAAGTCACAAGCAAGTCGTCAAGTCATATCCCAAGTCCTCAAAGAGTTAAAGTTAATGAGATAATTAAGTGACTAATTAAATGATGATTGTGCATTAGTGATGAACACCTGCTGTTACCAATCAACATCATTGAAGAAAAGAGAAACACAAGAACTACATCTGACTTCAGCCACAGTCTTGGATGAAATCAACTGGAAAAAAAAAAAATAATGCCACCATATTTGTGGTCAAAGTTTAAGTTGGTCTCTTGACCCTTTTAGTAATTTGCTTCTAAGTAATTGCAATAATGTTTCACGACAAACGTTTGTGCATTGCTGAATCAAGCCTTGGAGTAGCAGATTAACTTACGCTCTCTGCTTATAACTCAAGATGAATGAACATCATGAAGTGGTCTCTCTCTTCGTGTAAGCATAACTGCAGATCAGATATCTCCAAAATGGGATGGAACTCCAAAAGTCGGTAGAACCTCCAAAATGGGACGGGGTCTCGTCACACAAAGATTTTCACCATTGGCTCTGGCTTCAGCAAATTGTTGTTGACTTGCATTTCAAAATAGAACTTTATAAATTCAACTTTGTTTCTAGTTGATCTAAAATTAAATATGCTATATAAATATTCTCAGTGAGCTCAGAACCCAAAGCTTGTGGCTAGTAGTGTCCGGACTGGAGTTTGAACCTCTGCTTAATGATATAAACGGGAATCACCCACGAGCTCTCCCGCAAGCCGTCCCAGCGCAGCGCAGGGGAAAGATTTTACTCTATCTCTTTGTTTTAAGCAACAGGGTGTCCTGGAGCTTGAAATTTGCAGGGTAGAAGGGAGTAGTGATGCTGGGTATAACTAAAAAGGTGCCATTGTCCAGTGAGGTCTGTCATTCCCCTGGAACCTCAATCTAGTCGTTGGGGAATGGCCCGGTTTAGCGATCTCATATCGCATAATCTTATTAAGTGCTTTTCTCCTGAACTGCAACTTTCTTTACCGCTATTCAACGCCAAACCTGCCGTGCAGTCAATTTCACTGGTCAACCCTTTAAATCCCACAACAAAATCCTTGGTTTTAAATGAACACTTATAATGTGTGCATACTACAGAGTGTTAGAGTACCACTGAAGCAGTGCTGAAGTTAATGAGATAATTCTGTGATTAATTCAGTGCTGATTGAGCATTAGTGACGAACAGCTGCTGTTAACAAGCAGAATCACTGAATGAAAGATACTTTACAACTGACTTTAGTCACAGCCTTAGATGAAATCAACTGACATAAAAGAAGACATTAAATCTCTCAAGATCTGATTAAACAACTTCTAAAACAGCATTACCAGCTTCACTTATTACCAGACTGACTTTATTTTTTTCTGTCAGACGTCTACAGAAGTGCTTATTGAGAGTTGCAGAGGTTTAGATCTTTTTTTTTCTTCTTTTTACTACCTTGATGGAGATCAGTGTTTACTTTAGTTGGGCTCTTGAACCTTGACTTTTTTACATTACCTTTTCTTTGGTTGCTGTAACAATGTGTTTTTGAAACATGTTTGTTATAACAAAAAAAAGAGTCAAAGAAAAACAAAATCTGGTATTGTTGTTTATGGATGGAAAATAACAATCATTCTCTTACTGCTGATTCACTTCTGATTCACTGATTTAATCATTAGTTCAATACAAAGTAAATAAACAGATCAGTTCTGAACCTCACAAAACATGCTACTAAAACTCAACACAAAAACAAAAGCAAAAATAAAAGCACATAGAAAGAATTCAAGAAAATAAGTGGACAATTGAGAAGGACAATTCAGTAGCATAATTTATTCATGCCGCAATGCATGCTGGGAGTAAAGGGTGAATTTTGTCCTGTGCTGGTACCCAGCAAGCATTGCAGCATGAAGCTTTTGATTGTCACCCTTGTTGAGATTCATGTGCTGATTCTTGATGTCTCTCTTTGAATGTAAATAACATAGAAATCTAAAATAATATAAACTCAAACTGTTATTAAATCATTATTTTTGGGTTGCCGCAACACTGATTAATCTTATGCTGTGAACAAAACAAACAAAAATGTATAGATAAAAAAAAAAAAAAACACTCATGTAATTAAACACGGGTGAATCACAATCAGTCCAGCAGACGATGTTTGTGATAATTAGAAAACAACCAATATCATCTAAATAACCATAAGAATTGTGCAATAAATAATGCATTTTAAAAACACAGTTATAGCAATCAAATTAAAAACTGATACTGATCTGTCATAGGTCAGGAACCCAACTAAAGCAAACTGATCTCCACAATGGTAATGTCAAACGAAACAAAACATCATCATCTAAACCTCTGTTCATTCTCAATAAGATCTGCTGTAGATGTCTGACAGAAATAAAATCAGTCTGTTTAGAAATGTGTGAGGCTGGTAAAGCTGTTCGTTGAGTTGTTTAAATCTTCAGTTGATTTCATCTAAGGCTGTGGCTGAAGTCAGCTGTAGTTCCCTTTCAATACTTCACTCGTACTGCGTCTTGCTTAAGACGCATATGGGAAAAAGCCTTTTTCTCCTGAACTGAAGCCTATTTCTTTCACGCAGTGAAACTGCACGGCCATTGGTTCGTGCTGGGTTTTAAAAACGAACCAATGACGCGGCAGTGGAGCTGTACGAGCCTATGGCGACGAAGCCCGCCAAAGCCCGCCAGAATGGGCGGGGCATCTGGCTATATAAGCGGGCGCTCGCCACAGGATTCTCAGATTTTTTCTCCTTCGACGACGATTCTACACTCATCGCTGATCCTGAAAGCCTGCTCGCCATTGACACACCTTCGCAGCTGGAATCGAGACCTCACAGCACAGCTGACCTGCTTCTCCGCCACTACAGCGACGCAGCAGTTCCGGTCCGTTTTCCCCTGCCGCCATCTGGCGATTCTAAAAGAGCTTATTTCTAGAAAGTAAGCCCTAAAAGAGCAAACTGTAGCAACGTTGTTGCAAATGTCGCTCTGCGAGTGTGGCTCATGCAGGGAAACTTGCACGATGTAGAAGAGCAATGAATATGTCATCTGTCTGGGCAGACCTCACGCAGAGACTGTTCTTTCGCCGAGACGGAATGCTCACTCGAGCATGAGTTTCACTCTTCTCCGCTCGCGGACCGCCTTCACTGGATGTAGCCCCGCTCTCCCATTTCTCCTCTCTCAGTGAGTCTCGGAGAGAGAAGCAGAGGAGTCAGGGAGCTAAGCAACCGGGTCTGAGCGATCGCATGCCGGCACTGTACCCGCGTGCTCGCTCTCCCCGTTGCACTCGGATCCACCGCAGAAGGGCAGTGAGCTACGCGCTTACTGAGACAGAATGTTCACTCGAGCATGAGTCTCGCTCTTGTCCACGTGCGGACCGCCTTCACGGAAAGCAGCCCAACTCTCCCGTTTCTCCTCTCTCAGCGAGCCTCAGAGAAGGAAACAGCGGAGTCAGGGAATAAGCAATCGGTCTGACTGATCTCTTGCCGGCACTGTGCCTGCGTGCTCTCTCTCCATTGCACTCATATCCGCCGCAGAAGGGCAGTGAGCTATGCGCTTACTAAGACAGAATGCTCACTCGAGCATGAGTCTCGCTTTTCTCCACTCGTGGACCGCCTTTCACTATACAGCCCCGCTCACAGACACGGGCCGCTTTTACAAAAGCAGTTGCCCCGTTCGTTCGTGGAAGCCGGCCCCGCCTCCCCGCGCTCATGTTTCTCTCCTCCCAGCTACCTCGGTGGAAGCAATGACGAGCTCACGGGTTGAACGATCAGAATTGAGCAAACCTCTACACACATCATGCGTGCTTAATCTGCCAGTGTGTGTTACACATGGGGATCAGTGCACCTCGTTATATGAGCAGCTTAATCCTCCCAGGCAGATCAAAGCGAAACGCGGGCGGTTTCGCATTTGTGTGTGCGTCGCTAAGCCCTGCCTCCCCTGCTCTGGTGTTTCTCTCCTCCCAGTTACTCGGAGGCAGAAAGGGCAAACTCCCTCTTCCATCACTCATACGTGTTCTGCCCCCATGCGGCCAGTCACCCGAGTTAATT